AGATCAGCGCCACCAGCCCCAACAGGTAACCCGCCCGGGCCGCTGCTCCTGCCCCTTGACTCGCCCCCGCCCCCCAGGAGGGGCTAGGTCCTGACCCCAAGAGCTGGTGTCTTAACATGGACTCGGTGCCAGGCAGCGTTGGGTGGCTGTAGCCTACGGTGTCAGGCTGGCTCAGGTCAGACCCTTCCGTGGGTGGGGAGGTCGCTGCTTCCCCGAGGGGCAGGGTTTAGTGCCCTGATCCGTGGGGGGAGCTGGGGGCTGGTGCAGCTGCCCGGCCCCTGCCCTCCTGCAGGCAGAACCGGACCAGGAAGTGGCTGAGGCATGGGCGCTGGAATCCTGCTTCATGGAGTCCCATCCCTCCCCCGGGCCTGGTTTGTGCGCAGGGTGGGGGCGGCTGGCAGAAGGCAGAGGGGTGCTGCTGGCCTTACCTGCACAGGGCCTGGGCAGCATAGTGCCAGGCTTGTGTGTGTTTTCCAGTGCCAACTCTGCCTCCAGTGTGGGGGGAGGGGCAGAGATGGGGGGAGCGTTCCGCCTAGCATGGAAACAGCCTCAGCCAGCACCTCAGCAGCAGCTGCAGACTTTTGCTCTGTGCCTCCTGTTCCTGCTGCTCAGTCCCTAGCTCAGGACCCAGGGGTGCCCTTCTTTGGGACCTTGTCACCCCCGGAGTCCTTTGCTTCCCACATCCTGGGGCTGAGAACCCTTCTCCAGCCCTTCCCACCCTTGAATTCCCTGGCAGGATTGCAAGCAAGGGGCTCCCTTCCATGGTGTGGGGGCCCCCACTGGAACTGGTGCCTCCTGTTCCTGCTGCTCAGTCCCTAGCTCAGGACCCAGGGGTGCCCTTCTTTGGGACCTTGTCACCCCCGGAGTCCTTTGCTTCCCACATCCTGGGGCTGAGAACCCTTCTCCAGCCCTTCCCACCCTTGAATTCCCTGGCAGGATTGCAAGCAAGGGGCTCCCTTCCATGGTGTGGGGGCCCCCACTGGAACTGGTGCAGCTGGAGAGGCCAGGGACCCGTTTGGTTCATTTACCTCCCGGGCTTGGGAATGTTTCTGCAGCTGGGGGCCTTGCTCATCCCCCACGCTCCTGTCCTGGAATGGAAACGCCCTGGGCCACCTTTGTGTCTGGTGCAAGGGAGCAGCGTGAATGGAGCTTAGACCAGGGCTGTCCTTGGACTTTGTCCCTGAACCGTTGGTGGGAGAACTGGCTGTAGCATCTGTTCTGCTGACTGGGTGGCTTCACTTGGGTGGGGCAGGGCTGGAGGATTCTGCTGCAGAAAGGCCACTTCCCTGTTTTGCAGGGAGCCTCAGTTGGCTGCCTGCAGCCGTCCCTGGTCAGGGGGAGCATTTTGCTGTCCAGGAGTGGCCCTGCCCGTGAATGGATCCTCACTGTGCTAGTGCGCCTGGCCACCTTTGGGGAGCTCCCGTTGGCAGTTGGGGGATTGGTTTTGTCCCGTGAAAGCGCTGGAGCAGATGCGCTGAGTGTGCAGGTCGTTGGAAACCAGCTGCCCTGACACCTGACCTGCGATCTGGGGGGGGCTAATCAGGAGGGGTTGGGTTAGCGTTCCTCCAGCCCGCAGGCAAAGCCCCGCAGCGTTCCACTCACGGGAAAGGCGTGGCCTGGTTCGTTGCCGCGACACGTGAAATCTTGCGGCTCACCCTGGTGACTGGCAGGGAGCTGCCTCCAGGCTGCAAGACCCGCCCGAGGCTCAAGGGGAACGGTCGGTAAAAAACCCTAAGGAGGCTGCTGTCGAGCGCTGCGGGGGACCTTGTCCTCGCCGCCCTGTTGGCTGCTTCCACTTCATTAGTCTTGGACAATGACCGTGTCACATGGAGGAAGGGCCCTTTGGTGTGTTGTGAGCCGCTGGGTCTGTGTCCCTGCTAGGCTTTGCCTGAGCTGGAGGTGTGGGAGATGCAAAGCATCGGGGATGCTGGAGCTGGCACAAAAACCTGAATTTGTTGCAAAAAAATAAAATAAAAAAAAAAGAAACCAAGATCCTGGGTTTAGCATTTGGGGGGTAGCGTGTGCCCCTGTGGGACGAGGCTGTCGGGGTTGGTTCTCCAGCATCCATGGGTCAGTGTTGGCTGGGAGCAGACCCCCGGATGCATGTTCAGCTCCATTGCCTGGGGCTGCCTGCGTTCCGGCTGTAGTGGGGCCCCGGAGTGATCTCCGACGCATCTCGTCTCTCCGTTCCCAGGTTCCGCTACTACCAGAACGTCTGCACCCAGAGCTACTCCTTCGTGTGGTGGGACTGGCCTCGCTGGGAGAGAGAGATCGACTGGATGGCGCTGCACGGCATCAACCTGGCCCTGGCGTTCACTGGGCAGGAAGCAGTTTGGCAGCGGGTGGAGTGTTTGCTTTGAGTCTCTAGTGAAGTCGTGTTGCATGCTGGGGATTTTCGGGAGTTTGGGGAGACAGCAAGGTGCTCTGGGGGAAGGGCTGCTGTCCGGGGGGTCCCCTTGATCCCAGGCTAGCACTGGCAGGCAGTGGGGCTGCAGCCTGC